AAATATACAGGGTCTGTTTTATCTCAGTACAGCGAAATATCTTTTAAGGAAGTGATGTTAGGAAAAAAATGTTTTAACAAAAGTTGTTTGGTATGGAGGGGGACGTTATCTGGTGTAACTATTTTTTTTGTACCGGGTGTGATGGGGGAGATTTTAAAGTAAAAATGCACAGAATTACGGTTATAGTTACCGATTTTTTTCAAGCTCACACTGCATACAGTAGTGCACACATAAGCGTCCGCATTTTTTCTCACTTAAGCGTCCGCATTTTTGCACGCTTAAGCGTCCGCATTTTTGCACACTTAAGCATCCGTCGCTATCCCCACCAATTCTTGAAAATGGGACTTCGGAGTGGCGTTCGAGCGTGCCGAGTGAAACAAAGTAATATCGTTATCCCACTTGTCAGACACATCTTCTCTCTTTTCTTTAGTTAAATTCGCAGAAGTCACCTCCCCGCTTATGTGTGCACTACTGTGTTTAGAAAAATATTTCTTCAGCTTTAAAATAAGTGCAAGCGCAAGCATTATCTTTGAACAGAACCAAAATATTACGGTTAAAGTGACGAAGTCCGTTCGTTTCACCTAATTTTTCAAAACCTCAACCCGATCTATCGTTACCGTTGTTACTTGCGAAAATACTCACCGCAACGATTTATCATTATCACCTTCTCTTTATTGCTTGTTGTTGCCAAATTGTAATTAATTGTAAATCAAAATAATCTGTAACGGGTTGTTGCGTCGTGGACTTTGATCAAGTCTTATGACCAGGAGTTCTGGCGCAGGTTGATGATAGTTCTCGCTGGTTCGAGCTGGAATGAAACTTGTTTGTTGGGTTAGATGTTTTTCTTTCGGCTCGTTGATGTAGATGTTTGATAGATGTTTAGTTGAAATTCGGTTATTCTTTTTTTTTGACGATGTGTCTCGTGCACTCGTACTGTTAATTCTGGGTTTTCAGGTGTGTAGATGTATATATAGGGATTAGGTTGGTTCTGATTGGTGGTTGTGTTACGGAGGTGGAAAACGTGGTGTGTTCGGCTATTGGTCGACGAAAACTGTGACCTTTTGGGAGACCGAATTTGTTGTAAGACCGGTAACGAATGTTTTATGGTCCCGAGTGTTTTTGGGACCTATTGTCTGAATGTCGTGCTAAATATACAGGGTCTGTTTTATCTCAGTACAGCGAAATATCTTTTAAGGAAGTGATGTTAGGAAAAAAATGTTTTAACAAAAGTTGTTTGGTATGGAGGGGGACGTTATCTGGTGTAACTATTTTTTTTGTACCGGGTGTGATGGGGGAGATTTTAAAGTAAAAATGCACAGAATTACGGTTATAGTTACCGATTTTTTTCAAGCTCACACTGCATACAGTAGTGCACACATAAGCGTCCGCATTTTTTCTCACTTAAGCGTCCGCATTTTTGCACGCTTAAGCGTCCGCATTTTTGCACACTTAAGCATCCGTCGCTATCCCCACCAATTCTTGAAAATGGGACTTCGGAGTGGCGTTCGAGCGTGCCGAGTGAAACAAAGTAATATCGTTATCCCACTTGTCAGACACATCTTCTCTCTTTTCTTTAGTTAAATTCGCAGAAGTCACCTCCCCGCTTATGTGTGCACTACTGTGTTTAGAAAAATATTTCTTCAGCTTTAAAATAAGTGCAAGCGCAAGCATTATCTTTGAACAGAACCAAAATATTACGGTTAAAGTGACGAAGTCCGTTCGTTTCACCTAATTTTTCAAAACCTCAACCCGATCTATCGTTACCGTTGTTACTTGCGAAAATACTCACCGCAACGATTTATCATTATCACCTTCTCTTTATTGCTTGTTGTTGCCAAATTGTAATTAATTGTAAATCAAAATAATCTGTAACGGGTTGTTGCGTCGTGGACTTTGATCAAGTCTTATGACCCGGAGTTCTGGCGCAGGTTGATGATAGTTCTCGCTGGTTCGAGCTGGAATGAAACTTGTTTGTTGGGTTAGATGTTTTTCTTTCGGCTCGTTGATGTAGATGTTTGATAGATGTTTAGTTGAAATTCGGTTATTCTTTTTTTTTGACGATGTGTCTCGTGCACTCGTACTGTTAATTCTGGGTTTTCAGGTGTGTAGATGTATATATAGGCATTAGGTTGGTTCTGATTGGTGGTTGTGTTACGGAGGTGGAAAACGTGGTGTGTTCGGCTATTGGTCGACGAAAACTGTGACCTTTTGGGAGACCGAATTTGTTGTAAGACCGGTAACGAATGTTTTATGGTCCCGAGTGTTTTTGGGACCTATTGTCTGAATGTCGCGCTAGTGAGTCCCAGGGGGGTATATTGCGGACTTCCGAACGTCGGCACCTCGGTCTGACGGCCAAATGTGACTAAAGTGGCTTATTACTATAATCCGCCGAACCGAGACTTCGTTGCGTCCTCATCAAGTCGCAACAGGGTAGACGACACTTGTTGATACATGAAACGATCATTTTTAATATATTTGTATCAATAGTTGTTTTTATTCTTACATTGAGTGCACTCGTGTTAAAAGTAAACTGTGAATATTTTTGTCGGTTTCATTTTTGTAGCACTTTTACATTCTTATTAATTTTTCGCATTTTAGTTGTTATTCCAATAACTTGTGAGTAGTCATTATATTTTTAAGTTTCTTGAGTTTGTAATTTAACAAATTTCTTACGGAATTTCAAAGATTTCAGTGTTTTCGTTACAAAAATCTTTCGAGCTGTTTAGCAAGTGCTCCTTAAAACTCGCTGATCCCAAGAGGATTAACGTTAAATGTCCGAAATAGGTAGCTAAAATTCTCCAGAATTTAGTTTCACGAAGTTATCAAGAAGTTTTGCGAGTTTGAAGAACATCGGTGACTATGACCGCAATTCTGTGCATTTTGACATGGAATAGCTCTCGTACGCGCGACTTCTGGCGTCGCCGGGTTGGAATTGCAGAGCGACTGCATCTGCTACTGCAGTGGCCGCATACCGTGAGCATTATTCAGAGGAGCAGCCGGTGGCAGAACATAGTCCGGTGTGTGACGTAATTTTCTGGTTTTCACGTTTCACGTGGGGTGAACACCAGCCGGCGGGGGTAGCCCTGCTT